GATCTGCTGCTTTTGTCTCTTTGCTACCTTGTGGTTTAGGGTTTTCTGGGCGTCTGCGTCGGTAATTGAAGTTGCGGCGGTACAGACGTTGAGGGGGCGGCTGACCTTGGGTCTCATCTCCTCTATTTTCCTCCTTCACTGCCGTCCTCTCTGCGCTGTCTTTGACGAGGAGGGCCGCTGCGGCTGCGGAACGGTGGTCTATAACCCCGATACATATTCTGTTTCACTGGTCTACCTTGTTCTCCTGCACCCTGGTTGTCCGCACCCTCCATCACCTCTCTCTGCACGGGAGGGTTGGAACGCTGTGCTCGACGCCCATAGGGTCTCCGCATGCAGTAAGGTGGGCGCCTGCGACTGCGGTAGGGCCGGCGCTGTCGGGCCTGCACTCTCGGATCCCTCCGCCTTTTCCCCACTCTCACTCTTCTGGTACTTCTGCTGGAGGTTGCGTGGAGGACCGCCGCGACGTGGAGAGCCGCTGCGACGTGGAGAGCGGCTCTAGTGGTCGCGGTCTGCGACACGTTTACCGCCTTGCGCTGGACCCGCTCCAGGGCCTGCGTCGTTTGCTGCTTCGCACCCTCTTCTCCTTCAACGACATCGAACTCCACGGTCTCCCCGCATCTCCTACACCGCGAAGGTACCTCCTGGGGTTCTTCTTTATGGCAGTCCGGTGAACAAATGCATCTTCCTCGGTGTCATTCCTGTTGATGAAACCACACCCGTTTCTCACACTGAACCATTTTGCTGTTCCCAAAACCTTTGATGCGATGGTCTTTTCGTCCCCGCCGGCAGGCGCCGCCGGTGTGAGGCCGCCCGGGCCTCCGCGCCCTGCGCCGCAGCTGCCCGTCGTGCGGGGCTTGGGGTCGGCAGCGCTGAGGGCGGGGCGCGGCGGGCGGCTGCCGGGTCTCGGCCTCGCTGCTCGTGGCTGCGGCGACGGTGACTGGGGCCCCCTGCGGCAGCTGCGGCCCCTCCCGGGCTGGGACGGTAACCGGACCGGCGGCAGCGGTGAGGCTGCCCGGGGCTCTCTGGGGTCCGCTCTCCGCTCCCGCTACCGATCGAACTCTGTGCTAACCACCTTTTAAATGTTTTCTTGTTTAATGATCAAAATAACTTAATGAGGTAGGAACCACCACTGTCCCCATTTTAAGGGTGAGGAAGAGGTGACTCAGCGAGGTCAAGTAATTAGCCGACAGTCACAGATCTGGGCAGCATGACCCCGTGGCCCGTGCACTAAACCACGCACTGTCCTGTGCCCTGTGCCCTGTACAGCCCCTCTCATTCTCATGTAGTATTTAAACATTTAAATAAATATTGCAGTTCTTTGGAAGGGTCAGTAACAACCTTCCATCTTGAGATAACCACGTTCCATCAGAATCATCAGAAACATACTTTTAGCAGCTACCAGCTGGCCCAGTGCATAGGAGGCAGGAAGGATGAGAGTAGAGGGGTTGGAGGAGAGGTTTCCTTGGAGTCTTTCATTATCTCAAAGTTCCTTCCTTTTTGCAGGGTTCTGTCCAGTGATCACCACTCCCTTCATGTTCTTATGTTTCTTCATACTCACTCACGCACAAATACCATCTGACCTATAGATCCTACACCTTGGTTTTCCCGCTGTGTAACCTTGGGCTAGTATCCCAACCTTTCTGAGCCTCATTTTCCTCATCTGTAAATGGCGATAACACTGACACATATAACCACGCTCTGAGAATAAATGAGATCTAAAATATCTAGCACAGTACTCAGCACATAGTAAGTCCTTGATTCATATATACAACAAAAAATGATAATTTTACTGTCAATCCTACAATCCTACGTCACGTTTGGATAGCGTTCAATACTTTTCACAGTAGCTCCAAGCACTATTTCCTGTGCTCCTTACATCAACCTGGTGCAAAGGGCAGGAAAGATCCTCGACCCCACTTTACAAATAATTGTCATTAAGATTTGTCATGTACCTACTCTGACTAGGGAACTGGGCTAGGAATTTAAAGATGTATAACATTTACACTGACTTTCACAATGGTTTAGTAGCTATCCTTTTTTATGACAAGGTACACAGTGAATCCCTGGTGAGATAACAGAAAACATATATATTGGTCTCTGCCCCTCATCCATGGCATAGGGCTCTTAAAACCCTTGTAATTTCCTAAGTGGTAAGAGCATTAGGAGTATCTTTTGTCCTAATATTTGGTCTTTGCTAAGGAGGCAACTCTGGGTGGCTCCTGGATGAGGGCTGGTCATTGGAAAGACAAAGCCATGATTAGAAGCTTGGAATTTTCAGCCCTGCCCCTCGTTTTCTTGAGAAGGGAAAAGGGCTGAAAATGGAGTTAATGATCGCTCAGGCCTACGTGACGAAGCTTCTATGAAACTCCAGTAGTCTGGGGTTCGGAGACCTTCCGGGTTGGTGAACACATGGAGGTACTGGGCAGGGGGATTGGGGGGGGGGGGGGGCCTGGATGGGGCATGGAAGCTCCTCGCCTCTTCCCACCCACCTTGCCCTACACATCCCTTCCATCTAGACGTTAATCTGTATCCTTTACCATATTCTTTTATTATAAACTGCTAAACATAAGTAAAGGTTTCCCTGAGTTCTGTGAAGCACTCTAACAAATTGGTCACACCCAAGGTGGAGGTTGATGGAAACTCCAATCTTTAGCCAGTCAGAAGCACAGGTGACAACCTTGACTGGCACCTGAAGAGGGGGGTAAGTCTTAACCTATGGGGTTTGCTAGCACCAGGTAGACAGTGTCAGAATTGAGCTGAATTGCAGGACATCCAGCTGGTACCAGAGCATTGCTTCTTGGTGTGGGACCCACTCGCCATCTTCATCTCCACCCCAACTGCTGCCCAACATGGGAAATTGGTGATCAGAACCCGTTAAAGAAAAAAACCCAAGGCCTTCCTAGTTTTGTGTTTTTCATGTTACACTCCGCCCCTTACTGACTGGAGATGAAGGCCCCATAGTGGGGCACCATCACTTCAAGAAACACAAAGGGAAGGGATCCAGATAGAATGATGCTTCCCCTACTTCCCCCAGGGCAATCTTGTGGCCTCCGAGAAATTATACTTATGAATATATGACTTACACAATGGAGTGATATGTAGCAGTCAAAATAAATAAAATACATGACATGCAATGCCATAGATAAGTGCCTTTTACGTGCCAAGCACTTTCTAAACACTAGGGTTATAAGCAGTGAATGCAACAGGCAAAAATCCCTGCATTCCAATAACTAAGTTCTAGGGTTGAAAAGAACAGTGGCCTTGGAGTGGGATAAATTCTAAGGCAAAATAGTGGTTAATAGCCTGGACACTGTGAGTCGGGCTGCTTGGGTTTAAATCTTGGCTCTTCCAATGGGCAAGTTACTGAATTTCTCTAAGCTTCCATTCCTGTATCTGTGAGTTAACGCCTACATTGGAAAGTTCCTTGAGGATTAATGATTTATCATATATCTACACTGTTTAACATAGTGCCTGATATACAGTAAGCACTCAATGAGTATTAGCAATGATTTATTGCTTGGTGAGACACTTACTTACCAGATCACTGGAGCCAAAATCGTGAGGGTATACTTGACACCTGACCCTTTTGATTATTGTGTTCTGTCAATTTTACCCCCTAAATACTTCTTGAGTGTGTATATTTTCCCCCCTTTTCTCCCTTGCCATTATCTTAGCTCAGACTGACGCTTCTAGTATTAATTAGAGAATTAATTTGCCAAGTGGGCTCCCTGCCTTTAGCTTTCTTCTCCCACACATTCCTCTTCCTTGATCAAAAATTTGACCAAAAAATCATTTCCCTGATTGAAATCCTCCTTGAATGCTCCTTCCATGACTCTCCCTTGCTTGTAAACTCTTTAGCATGGTCTGCGAGACCTTCATAATCTAGCCCCTGCCTATCACCAGTCACCTCCCCTTGTACTCTAAGCCTCCACCACATTGGTCTCTCTCCCTAAACAGATTTTAAGCTCTCTGGGCAAAGGAAATGAGTCTTCGTTCCTCTGGTGTACCCAACACTTAACTTAGCACAGGGTGTGTCACATGGTAGGTGAATCCCTGTGCTAAATCCCTGAACTGAAGTCTATTGAAGAATGGTTGCAATGCTGTCATGATCATTTTGATGTGATAACATGGTAATTGAACACTTGCCATGTCCAGGCACAGGGCTAAGTGCTTCATAGGCATCATTTCACTTAATCTTTTCTTAAAAAAAACAAACCTATGAGAGAGGTAAGCGCTGTTAAGATGAGAAAACTTTGGTTTAGCAGGGTTTCGTAGTTCCCAGCATCACAGAGTGGTAAATGGTAGGGCAGGATGTCAAAACCTGGTATGCGGATTCTAAATCCCTGTGCTTTGTTCCCATATGCATTTTGGTAATCTCAGACTGAGAAATAACTTCTCCGTCTTTCTGAAAGGTCTCAGAAATGCTGACCAGTGGAATCCACTGATTAAAAGTTCTGGACATCACTATTTCTGTTTCTCATACAGCTATCATTTCTATTTTAGTTCAGACTAATAACTCCAACTAGAATTTTTTACCTTATATATTTCCTTTTAGTCTAGGTATTTCATCCTAGGTCCCTTTCAAAGGTAACATGAAAGATTTGTTGAAATGTGTAGTTTTGCCAACTTATTTTAGAGGAAAAGCATAGCTTAGAAACTTGATTCTAAACACCCCTTCTGGGAGAGTAATATTTAACATGAAACAACCACAGTTCACGCTTGCCATTCAGATGGGCAGTGGTTAGATCAGTAGTTCAGCAGATGTCTTCTGAAATAAATTATTATGCATTGCCACTGCTCTAGCTTGATCAGACGAGAAAGGGGAAGCCAGGAGTACATACATCTTCGTTTTTATTCCTTTCTTAAGGATGAATGTGATTAAGAAGATGATAGACAAATGGAAGCAGCAACAGCTTTATAACCAAAACATGTTTTAAAATATCATTAGTTGTCGGTGCCAGGTGCCAAACAATGCTGGCTGATGATAACAACAGATTACCTTTTACAGAGGCAAGAACTTGTATTACACTGTTTTGCATTTAATGTTTTAGAACTGTACAAAGAGTCTCACTTCCAAAGCAGAAATATAATTTGGATAGTATTAGCTGATCTTTAATGTCATTTGAAAATTTCATTTATGAACGGTTACATTATGATGAGATGTTCTACGATAATAATCACTTTGTTGTTGTTATTATTATGGAACAATGAAAATCTCTGTTAGAAAAACAGGTTGCTCTTGACACTTGCTTGTACTTGTAAATACTGTGAGAAAGAAGTAATGAGAGCTGTGGGGAAAGTCCGTCATGGGAGCAGGCAGCCTTTAGAAATGACATTCTTGACTCAGTCATCTCCTCCACAGATCTTTACGAGTGTGACTGCATAGTCTCCAGAAGTATCTGACTGTAAGGGACAGGACGGATGGAGAGAACGACAAACATGGCGTAAATAATGAGGGGACCATGAATGAATCAAATCGCACAGCACTAGGGGATTCACTGGCGTGTAAGGCTCATGACCTGTACCATTTAGTGAAATGCACCTGTAATTCCATCATCCATTCACACCTGAGTGTAATCCTGTTCCAGCCTAGCGTCTTCTTTATAAGATATGATGTTTAAATACTTCCTGATATACTGCAATTAAATTTCAATTTGGGTTTAAAAAAGATGAGTGCATCAATTACCTAATATTACATAATCTTATTTTTCTCACAAAACTTTAGAAAATTATAGTTTTAATAATGTTTATATTAGTATTTGTCAAACACTTGCTCTTCTAAGGGTTAACTCCTTTAACCCTTATAATAACTCTGTACAGTAGATACCATAGTAGCTCCACCTAACAGATAAGTAAAATGAGAAAAACAGAGGTTGGGAAATTTGCCCCAAACTATATAGAGAATAAATGCAGAGGGAGGATTGGAACCCAGTTAACCTGGCTCCTTAACACCAAATTATACTTCCTGACTTAAGAAAGTGAAATGAACTATATCCCCACAGAGTATGTTTCCCAGTTCATCTCCCCTAGGCTAGCCAAAAAAGGATCTTGGTTCAGAACAGATACCAGGGGAGACTGAGGCTTACAGTACAAGATGCCACGTTTGTTATGAGTCTGGGAGTTAGTTAGAAACCTGGGAGTCAACCTCAACTCCTTCCCTTCCTTTCTCCTCACACCAAGATGTCATACCAAGTCCCTTAAGTTTTAACTCCTAGATATCTTTTGAGTCTTTGCTCTTTCCTCCTTTTGTATTACCAGTAGCTTTGCATCACTATTTTGTGTTACAGTCAGAGCTACTCTAATATGACGAATATAGTAACTCATCACCCCACATACCTTCTATCTTATGTCCAATTCATTCTCCACAGTCACAGGGATCTTTTCTAAATATACTTCTCGTCATGACACTCTGTGCTTAAAATTTAAACACTTCACTGGCCTCCCATCGCTCTTAAGCAAGACAAAATCCTTAGACATTGTCAGAAAAAGTCCTGAATGATCTGGTCCCGCCAGCCTCAATTTTCATTAATGTTTCCTCCACCACGAGATCTTTCCACTTGCTTGCAATTCCTTTTGTTAGAAGGCTCTGCTGACCTCTGACCCCCACAGCCTTCACCTTGTTAAGTCTAGTCATTTTTAGATCTGAATCATAACCTTCCTATAGGTCAAATCCTCCTGTTATGTGATCTTATAGCACAATCGCCTTTACACTGAACATGGTTGTAATTTTACATTTATTTCTAATTCCATAAGGACAGAAAACTTTTTTCTTTACTTATAATTGTAATCCTGAACCTGGCACATAATATACATTCAGTAAGTATTTTAAATGGAATGAATGGAATACGAATTCTGTGATCTCAAGTCTTCCTTTCAACTGAATGCATATTGCCACTCAGATTTTATTTTTCCATATTCCCAAGGTAGACTCCTAATCAATCAAGTGCCTCATTAATTCTTATCCTCCGACTTCTCATCATATATATGTTTCTAGAGCATTCCCCTTTGAGACCCTATTGACCGGCATAGCACCTGGCTCATGCGAGGCACTTGACACATGCTTATTCACCTGAAAGGCAAGCTCAAGACCCATTTCCCAAGAAATATTCCCTATCTAATCCCAAACGTCTTCTACTCTCAGATCCTATACTACTGTCCTCTGTACCCCATAATCTCGTATTTAACTGCATGTTGTTTCATATTCTTTCTTTTTTTTTTTTTTTTTTTTTTTTTTTTTTTTTGGCTACCCGGCCCCCTTCCTGCGT